GGAAATCTCCAGCTTTCCTTTCGCCTCTCGTTTAGAGCTACTTCGATGAAGATGAAAGAAACCTCTCCTCACACTCATTTCCTCTAGACTCTTCAGTTCGGCTTGAGACATTCGCTCTTTTTTCTCTTTCTTCTCCTTCTTCTCCTTTTTTGTTCCATCCTTCTCCTTGTCTTTATCTTTCTTGATTAAGTGGAACATGGTTGGGCCCAAATGTAGAATCCACCAGATTTAGGTCTCTTCACAGCATAAAGATCAATGTTGGCATTCAGTCATGACCAGCACCGGTTCCACAGCACCAAGGGCACCTCAGCTACAGGTGAAGCCCTCCTCTAAAACAACAGATTGACAGAACACATTGTTTTTATGTTCCTCCTTTTTGCAATGACTGTAGTAGTCATGGGGTTTAAAATGCACATAATTTTTTTTGTAATTGTTATTAAACAAATTGAAATTATTATTATTATTACTATTACTATTACTATTAATAATATATATATATAGAGAGAGAGAGAGAGAGAGAGAGAATTTATGTAAAATGTATACATTTATATATATATACTATAAATAAATATTACATATAAAATATATATAAATAAAAGGTTGTACATTTTGGATATAATGGCTAAAAGCAGACCAAATAATAGTCTATAATATGATAAAGAATACAATAATATAGTGCACCGGACAATGTTCATCAGTCATTTCAGTAATTCATGGGTTAACACAGCTTAAAAAACCCCGCACATAATTTATTAATCAAAAGAGTAAAGAAAGTGTACACGTGACGGTAGACCCCTGTGTGACGTCACACAATCTCATTGGCTGCTCTTACCTTTCCTGACAGGTACAAAAAATCGGTAAGAGATCCGTACAGCTTTTATCATCGACAACATAAAATGTACACAACAATGACATAAACATTATATAAAACACAGCGACATAAATCAGTGATGATGTTAAAACGATCAGTTTTCACGATTATCCGAACAAAACGAGTAGAACGAATCACTTCCTGAAACTCCGCATCTCATCGCCCCCTGAACGCTTCCTCTTCGAATTAAATTTCTGTGTAACAATAAATATGCTACGAATTCACTTGACCTCACCTGCAGAATCATGTCTGTCATGTAAAGTTGAATTCAGCTCTATAGATAAACTACCGGCAGAAACATTTACTGATTCAGCTCTTAATGTAAATCTACGAGGCTTTTAAAAATGAAACTCTTTGTGCTTTTAATATAATACTCATTAATGCAGTATTAGACCCTATACTCAAATCATGCATTTATATGCAGTACTTTTTTGATCACGTATATCATGGCTTTAAGGTGAATGTTTTGGTGCGCGTAATGCGCTTCTCTAAGCCTATTTATTCCGCATCAATGCAAACAGACAGACTGTTCACCTGTACAGTGAGTTAAACATAAATGCTAAAGATAAACAAACTTACCGCTGAAACGGTGCTGAAATAGTCTGGCGATTGCCGGTGCGCACTGAACTGCAGCACCGGTCCTGTGGAAACGCGTCTAGAGCGTTTGACGGTCAGTGGGACGAGCGCGCTCCCGGATCACTGAGCTCTGCTGGATATGATCCCCTCAAGAAAAGTTGAACACATCAGTTCATCCCTTTTGCATGACTAAGAGCTATTGAAACCTAGAGAGTTTTAGGTCGAGATGCTTTGACTAAGCTCAAAGTATATTTGTCTGATGTGCAACACAGTATAGTGCTTAAAAAGCAACCAATTAAACAAAAATAAAATACAGGTTGAGATAATAATTTGTATTATTCGATCATTTTTATAAGAATAATAGCTACAGATATTAATCAATTAGCCCTCTATAGGAATAAATAATAATAATACTGAAAAAGAATAAATAGGACAAGAATAGACGAGTATGCACACTATTGATATTGTAAATTAAAAAAGCAATAAAAAATGTGAAATATATTCAATAGAAATTATTGTCTTTTAAAATTAACCATGTTCTTGATTTTGCGTACACAAATTTAATTGCAATATTGTATTGATGGTGGTTCAGTTTCATTTGCATGGGCATAGCGCCCTCCTTTGGACCAACTCTGTGACAATACTTATCCCTCTTTATGTATGTTTTTATAATTCTCCAGTTACGCAATAATCTTCCAAATCCCCATCTGTTGCACATTTGTGATTTACTTATCTTACATTCTTATTGGCATCTCTTGTTCTGGACTTGGAACCTGATTGAGCACAAAGTTTTAGATGTTTAAAAGGTTTAGTGCCAAAAATTGCATTAAAATAAGAAAGTGTGTCCATTTAAAGTCCAGTCAAATCAAACAAAACATCAAATCCATAAATATTTAAAATAACTTTAACCAAACCATTAATTGAACCAAAGCTTCTCAACCCAATACAGGTCTATAAATCATATGTTCTGACTTGGCTGTGGTGTTTTGGTCGAAAATGTAAATCTTTCTTATCTCATGCTTATAGCCATAGCAAATCAATTTTGCCAGTTTCTCTGCACCTGACCTCACTTTCTTGGACTGATCAAACATTATACGTATTTCCTTCTATGTTTAGGTTTTTAGACAATTTTGTGCCAAACATAAACCATTAAAAGGTGCTCCACAGGGTCATTATGGAAGAAGAGGATTTTAAACTGGCCTATATGATGATCACATTTCATATCAAATTCACCGCAAGAACATACTGTACTAATCAGCTGGTCCTGATGCAACCCCAGTGTCATAGTTGGTAAAAATATAACAGACGCAAACAGCTCTCTGCACAAAACAGTTCTTCACTCCTACACTCTAAAAAATGCTGGGTTAAATATAACCCAGCGCTGGGTTAAAAAGGGACAAACCCAGCTATTGGGTTGTTTTAACCCAGCTATTGGGTTATTTTGACCCAGCGGTTGGGTTCAAAAGCTGGGATTGTCCCTTTTTAACCCAGCGCTGGGTTATATTTAACCCAGCATTTTTTAGAGTGTAATACTGCTTTATTTAATTTTTTGTTGCACTCAGAAAAAAAATATTTCCATAGAAACCTATTCTAAAACCTTCAACACAAAGAATGCCAGAATATTGGAGCTGTATTAAAAGTAAAACATGTCTAATATATTTAGTAAAATAATACATTTTTCATTTCTATTTTTTATTATTTAATGTACATTACAAATTGAAAGACTGAAATCAAAACTTAAAGGGTTAGTTCACCCAAAAATGAAAATTCTGTCATTAATTACTCACCATCGTGTTGTTCGAAACCCGTAAGACCTTCGTTCATCTTCGGAACACAATTTAAGATATTTTTGATGAAATATCACTTGTGGATGCGTGTTCACGACAGTATCATGACGCGAGCGTGTGGCGGCGCTGACCCACGGTGCGTTCCAAACAGGATATATCGCCCTCCGAAGGGCACTTCGGAGTAAAAACAATCATGGCCGCCATATTGAAGGGTCGTTCCAAATCGAAGTGCTCAAAACTGGCCACTTCAAAGGGCCCTTCGGAATGAAGGATTTCGAAGGGTACAACTGACTTCGGGCTCCCATGATCCTTTGCGCAGATTCTTTGCATTATGACGGCGCCTCCGTGTGGGCACGTGATGATAATGATGCAGAAGGGCACTTCAAGGAACAGTTGTTTGGTCCCCTACACCCTTCAACCCTTCGAAACTCTGATGTCACATGGACTACTTTGCCGATCATCTTGGTACTTTTCTGGACCTTGAACGTGGTAGTTACCTTGTTGTCTATGGGAGGGTCAGAGAGCCCTCAGATTTCATCAAAAATATCTTAAATTGTGTTCCGAAGATGAACGAGGGTCTTAGGGGTTTGCAACAACATGAGGGTGAGTAATTAATGACAGAATTTTCATTTTTGGATGAACTAACCCTTTAAGTCCTAATTAAATGCTTTTAGCATTTAACGTTTAATGTTTGGTAGCCACGCAAATGCTATTATACTACTTCTGGAAAAACAGTCTTATGAAGCATGACCTTTTAATCTCTTTGTGACCTATTAGAAGGGCACCCCGCTGATAATAAATCGGGTTATTAAGTTAATTCAGTTCAGGACTAGCTCTCTTAATTATAAAACGATCCTAAAATAGACCGGGCTGTCTCTGCGTCTTCAGCTAATCATTCTCGTGTGTCTGCTGGGGGATTTATAGGAATAAATCAGGTTAAAAGGGGCACACAACTCTGTCCCATGTAGGTTTGCTTCATCTGGTCTTTCGGTGTTTTGAACGAATCTTTTAAATGAACGAGTCGATTCAATGAACTTCCATGCAATGACTCATCTCAGAGCATCTCGTTTGTGAACAAACCGAATGAACTACTACTAGGACATCTCGTTCATGAATGAACTGAATGACCGAAAGCATCGTGCTGAGGATGCTTGATTCCATCAATTCGGTTAATTCAATTAATCATTCACTACTGGAGCAACATACGGACTGGGACACTGAATGAATCAATGAACGAATCTGAACAAATCTTTTTAGTGAAAAGATTCATGTCTTTTAAATTAATCAAAATCCCCAATATTACTAGGCAGATAAATTAAGCCTTAATATGCATAACGTTGTATTTAAATGTATGAAATAGACTTTACATGTACATACACAGATAGAGCATGTCTAATCATATAAATGCAGATAAATCCTGCAGTCAGTCTCGCGCAGTGAGTTATGACGAGTCTCGCGACAGTTCAACGCTATTCATCAACTTCACTCCTGTTTTTTGGAGCGTCCCGAGAATCTGATGAGATGGAGATGAAAAACAGGGGTGCTTTGAAAATCACTAAATTCAGTACGTCATGTGATTTACCCTCGACGCATGGACAAAGTGTCTTGTACCACAAAGTCTGTGTAATTATGTTTATAATGTACCATACTGTAAAACTGAATAGTGTTTTATTCATTAAATCATTCAGACTGCTGTTGTATCCCCCCTTCCCGCGAGTGGTACGTTCCGCGGGGTGGCGGAAGTCTCGCTCTGCCATGTTGAGCGCTTTGTTTCTGTGAGTGAGACGCGACGATGGAGCAGAGCTGGAGCTCTTTCTTATTCCAGGTGAGAAACTCTCTCTCTTAAACACACACGCACATTCACACTCACACGCCGTCCGTGCGCCGCTCACTCATGCTACCGGCCTGCCTGCTTCAGTCTACTTTATCAACAGAGATATTTGAAAAGGCGCAGTTGGAGCAAAACAATAGTAGATGAGTCCCGGGCGCCCAGCTGCGCTCCCTCTATAGATGTAGTAACACTCAGTCGCTGTGTTTACCCCTCTATCTCTGTAGGTTATATCTAACTTAACCCTATATCCCTCTTTACCCTTCTTATCTGACTCTATAGATGTAGCCATGTGTACATAATTTTACTCTATCTCTCTCCTTCTGTAGATCTTTCCTTCTGTCCCCGTTTACCCCTCTGTCTGTACTCCATCTATCCCGCTATATTTCTCTGTTATCCGGTCACATCTCCATCTCTCTTCCATTTATCTTTCCCTCTGTAGGTCTCTATCTGGTCATTCATCTCCCCATTCACTCCTTTATAAATATTTCACTCTGTCAGTCTCTCTGTTTGTTCCTCTGTCTCTATCTCCATCTATCTCTCCATTTTATCCCCCTCTGTAGATCAGTCCATCATCAGTTCCTCTATCACTTTATGTTTTTCTCCACCTCTGCCTCTGTCTGTACCTCTGTGTAAGGTTCCCATAGTCATGGAAAATCTGGAAATATCAGCTTTTTTTTTTTAATTTGTGATTTTTCAGGCATGGAAAAGTTACAGAAAACAAAGTTATGGAAATCTCTATAGACTATATATATTTTGAAAAAAATAAGTAATACAGATATTTACATTTTTAATTGGGTGGAAATATTTTTGTGAGTGACATCATGTATAAAATGGTAACATGTAATTTTACATACATTGTAAAATTATAACAACTTATTTATTACAACAAAAGTTATAGATAACCATTAGTCAAAAGGTTTGGGAACCATCTGTCTATCTATCTGTCTGTATATCAACTTTGGGACAGCAAGAATCAGAATAATAATAATAAGCTGCTAGTGACTCAGATCCTGAGGACTTGTTCACATTTAAACTCCCTTTATGAGGTGTTCGGTTGGATTGCTTTTTGCTTAGTCACTTCTATCCACAGGCTTTAGTTTAACTTTATGCTTTTCATTATACCTTTTACAAAATGCATTGGTTCATATATATTGCACCTGGTCCCTCTGTGTGATTTTCTGCAGCTGGATGCATGTATATTAATATTGTTGAAGATCATATTTATCATGCCTTGTGATCATAGAGCTTTTGATGTCAGTGAGAGTTTTACTGTATGTACTACTACTATGAATTATTCTGGGGAACATGTTTTGTTTTCAGCACATGTGGAGCCATATGGATGAGTTTACCTAACTGTTCTTTACTTTGCATGTCTTCTTTTATATTTGTTTATTACCTGTGTAATAGTGTGTGTAACACTGTGACCCATACTTCACTATATTAGACTCTACTAAAAAGATCCTAGGAAACATGTACAAAATTGTTTACATATTAACCTTTGCTCTAATAAAGCTGATATTGATTTGCAAGATGTCATATTTCCATAAGCAATAGATGTTTGAGGTCTTGTTTTGCCCTTGAAGTGCTGCACGTCTGAGTCATTTCACAGTCAGTCGTCGGGAAGTGAGATTAGACAAGTTTGATCTAACGCCGCCACACAAGTTTTACAAAGTTTCTTTCTTTCTCGATAGAGCATCATAGTGAAAGTGGTGACTTTGGGCTTTAATCATGAACTTGGTGAGATTGCAGAAGCTCTCCTGATGGTAAATTTTAGTTTGAGGGTGAATCACTTCAGTGGGTGTTTAATGACTGGGCATGTTATTCAGGTGTCTGGGGATGCACTTTTTAAAAGTTGACCTGGTTTAAGTTGGTTTTGATAAACTAGTTGACTTCGAATCAGTTGTTGGACAGCTAGTCGGTCTTTGTGACCCATAGTGACCTAGTGTAGCCTAGAGAAAGTAGAATTCCCATAATCCATTTATCACCGAGCTTGTGACTCAAGAGTCACTGACTCATAAAACATCCTTCCTTTGTTGATCAGATGCACAGCACAGACTAGACGCGCATCAGACCTGCTCCATTATCTCCGGGGCCCAGCCGCTTCTTGCCTTTAGTGTTCAGAACAGATTTAAACTTTCATATTTACTTGTGCTGTCAGAGTCAGTGCCTCAGTTGACTCATCAGAGTGGAAATGTTTGCTTGGACATTCTCTCAAATGTTTCATGTAGCATCACAGTTAGGATGGGGTGGTATGATGCCGCTATATATCAAGAAACGGTATGAATTGTGGCAACACATCAGTCTGTTATACCATTTATACCACAATTTATCCAAAGGTGTGGTTTTAACATCATATCAGCTCTTTTACAGTGACTTAAAATGTGGCTTATATTTACAATGTGTTACTGTATTACAGCCTTGATTATATCATGTGTGTTTTTGCACTGATGCCAAATTTATTCAACAGAAGAAAGAAACTCATTCAGGTTTAAAACAACTTGAGAGTAAGTAAATGATGACAGAATTTTCATTTTTGCAGAATTTTCATCAGTTTGGACTTGAATGAAGAGAGAGAACCTGCACTTAATTCACAGGCATTTTGTTTTCATAGACAGATATTGTGATGTATCATTATGAATTGTCTAGCAATATATAAATGATCACAAAATTGCTGTATCGTGATATGATCTGTATTGTGAGCCGTGTATCATATCGTATCGTATAGTATCGTGAGGTACCCTGTGATTCCCACCCCTAATTATATAGCATCTGACTATTTTTGTGGATATAATAATAGATTAATAATAGACAGAATAATAGATTAATATTTTAAATGAAAAAATATATATGATTTGTTTTTCATGTGAAATATTAATCTATTATTTATATAAATATGTATATATGGACAAAAACAGACATATGCTATGATTGAGCAATATATTCAACATTATGGGGTTGAATTTCCAGCAAAAATTATTTTATTGTATACAGTTACTGTGATATAATATCTCATAGCATGATGTAAGATTGTGGTCATACCGCCCCCCACCAGTCCCAGTGTAACACAAGCTTCATATGTCTGTGAAAATGTGTGAACTGCTGGGAGATTATGCATTGGGATTTGTCCTTTAGGGTCTAATAGTTGTAAACAGCTGGGTTGTGTAGTGTTATGAGCTGTTCGCCTTCCCACAAGCTCCCTGTTCCTTTTGTACTGTTTGTTTTGCCCGTTTAATCACCCTTTCTTCTTTACTGTTTCTTTTCAAATTCAAATTTAAGAAAGCTTTACTCAAATTAATTACCATGTGTTTCAGCATCCAGCCCGGGCCCATTGCGGATCTCCATTGTGCCACCGCTGGCTTTTCAAAACTCCTTATTCTCTCGCTGAACTCGTTTTCTCTGTTATTTACGTTACACTGACCTCAGCCTTCAGAGCCGATTTGTATCAAAATTGTCAGAGTGGCGTGAAGACGCAGCAGGGCTACAGTCATTCTGTGTCACATGCTCGCAAAGTACACACACACACACACACACATGCGCGTGCACGCAGTGGCCTAGTCTAGACTCGCATTCCCTGACGTACCCAGTAAACTGATGACTGGGATGCTATAGGAAGTGAGCGAGCAGGTGTGTGTGTGTGTGTGTGTGTGTAGATATGCGGTTCTCCTCATGAATAGAGGAACCAAATCGGAGAAGACTCCCGCACAAAGACCCCCTGCGTATCCGTGAGGGCATCCCCGCTCCGATTTGTGTCCATCACAATAGAGCAGATGAAATAAGGAGCAGAAAGAAGCGTTCATTTCTCTTGTCCTGCATCTGCCTGCGTCGCGGTCAGCCCTGTGAGATGGATGGATGATGCTGAATGGGAGAGGTCAGGTATTTAACCCTGCTCTCTCCGTGATTGCAGGAGATTGCGCATCTTAATTGCGGTGTCCTTCTTTTGCTGCAGAGACCAACGGCATCACTTGCTCCTGATTAAGCATGTGCAAAATTACAGATTTTTAAAATCAAAAATTGTTCGTATTGAATATGCCGTGCTTTGAAAGACACATATTCAAAATATAAAATTGCTAAATCATGAACTCTTTTTTTGCACAAAACTAATCAAATTTGAGACAACTTTTCTGCACAGGTTTTAGCATCCAGACAGTTACTACAAGACTTTAAACACACTGGCATTTTTTCAGTATATACAATATATGTAAAATACTGTATACATCATGCAATGCAATGCTTTACAAGCCAAATATTCATCAAATAAGCATGCTAAATATCAAAATACCTTTTTAGCACAAAACTATTATAGTCATTTTGAAATTTGAGAGGCAAAACAGTTTTACAACAACTGCACAGGTTTTAGCATCCGCAGTCACTTTGAGCATGCTAAAACCCTCTTTAGCAAGTTGGAAAATATTTTTTATAAATTAACTAGATGATTGGTGAACCCATCCTTGTGTTTCCTTTGCCTCTGAGAATTGACAGGCCTTGTTGTTTTATCAAGGCAGGGGAAGCTGTTCTCTCAGGGGCCAAGCCCTAGTAATGCCACCTTTGACCTTTCGCTGACTTTGTTTAAAATCTGCATCTGATTTGTTTTGCTCATTAGTTGTGTGTAGTTGGGTAAGGATTTTTTTTTTGTGTGTTTTTTTTACCTAGCTGGTTTGGGGCTGTTTCTGTGGTTTGTGGGGGTTGTGCCTGTTTTAGATGCTCCATTGAACATCAATAGTGGGTGAACAGGGCGTTTGCTGCACTTTATCGGGTCTTTTAAGCGCCTCAGGCTGTGGTAGGGTTGAGAAGTCGGATTCCTTTTGGTGAACCACTTCGTTAGGACTGTTCATATGCATTGGATTTAACTTTCATACGTGTTCACAAAGACCCAATTTGGCAATTGATGTGTTTGTGATCGTTGTATATTCTTTCCCTCTCATTTGTCCTGTTGTTGTGGCTCTGAGATCAGTGTCTGCCAGGGTAGGTTGTGATGTAGGTTAGCAGTGAGTGTCTGTAAGCTTTTGCCTAGGGCTGCACGATTAATCGCATGCGATATTTAACGCGCATCTTGTCAGAAAGCCGGTTCTGTAATCAGCGGTAAACCCCTGTCTGTGTAAACAAATCGCTCACGCTGCTCTGTGTGTGTAAGAGAGGACTAAAGGAGTGCATCCAGCCTCCCAGAAGCCTCAGTAAACAAACAGACAAACATCCACCTCTGTTTCCAGGCCTGCCCGGTGGGTTTCACTGTGTGTTCAAGCTGGCTGCATCCCATTTCACATACTTCTATGCTCTGAAAGTAAATAATTCACTCATAATGGGAAAGTATACACTTTTTGAGTTGTAGTAGGACAGTAAGTCAGCATTGTGTCACAAAACCACATCATAAAATTGTCATGCATTTTTAAACTGCTGAGGCAACATCTGGCTTGCACAGATATAGACTTTGAAAGTCAATCCATTTCTTTATTCTTTGTTGTATTTGTGAAAGTAATTTTTTTTCCATTTATATCTACTGTTCAGAAATTTGGGGCTTGTAAAAAATTGTTTTAATGTTTTTGTCTCTTATTCTCACCAAGGTTGCATTTATTTGATTACAAGTACAGTAAAAAGTAGAGGTCGACCAATAGTGGATTTTGCTGATACCGATAGCTAGGTTGGACCACACTGGCCGATACCGATTAATTAACCGATAGTTTTAAAATTGATACTGAACAAAAACTAAAATACTACTGAACCATACTACTACTAGGAGTAGTAATAATAATAATAATAGTAATAGTAAATGTTGAAATTAACACACTCTAACAAAGAACAATACTTACACAGCTTTCATTAATCTTAATGCTACCTTTTTTTTTCATGTTTTAAATCATTTCAAATGTCCGTATTCAACGTTTTATGTTTAATATATCAAAACATTATTTATGCATTTGTAATTGCAGGTTAAATGCATTCATGTCTTGCATTAGACAAAATACATGTGTGTAAATACATCTAAATGCCACTTCAGATGCAGCTTCTGTGTTGATTTAATTTGCTTGGTAACACTAACAAGGAACAATACTTACACAGCTTTCATTAATCTTATTGCTACAAATGGACTCTTATTTTAAAGTGTTACCATTTCATTTCAACTGTCATGCTTAAAGATGCACATCTTTAAATATATACATAAAGGCTATAGCATTAAAATTATATACATATGGATGTTGTATGTATACTCTCACACTTTAACTGCTTCTATTCTTGAACACTTGATGATTATCAAAATAATGATTATCAAAATAAAAGCGCAACACTGAGTCTAGGAGAACTCACCGGTATCTCACACACTCCGGACGTGTCGCGTTCAACTCGAGCAGCGGTCTAAAACAGTTTATTTAATCACCAAATGGACACAAGTTTACTTCAAGAATGAACAATTTGGCATGGATGAGTTTGAAGTTCGGTGTTTAAAAAACGGAGCAAACGGAAAGAGAAAGCGCGACCTATATTATAGCTCTATAAATGAAGCACACAGACTTTATTAGAGCCACAGAAAGACAAACGTTTTGCTGAAAATGCACAATACACAATTCATTATGTACATTAACAACAATTCGGGACCAATATAATGTAATTTAAAGGACAACTATGTGAATGGCACTCTGTGGCACGGCAGGATTTTCTGTCGGCTGCATTTAAATCCGCGTCTGAAGTTTAAACAGTAACATTGTAAAATATTATTACAATTTAAAATAACAGTTTTCTATTTTGATATGTTTTAAAATGTAAAATAAATACATTTATTCCTGTATGATGGTACAGCTGAACATTACTCCAGTCTTCAGTTTCATATGATCTTTCAGAAATCATTCTAATATGCTGATTTTTTTAACAGTTTATAAAAAATTATCAGTGTTGAAAACCGTTTTGCTACTTAATATTTTTGTTAAAACCATTAAACATTTTTCTGGATTCTTTGATGAATAAGAACAGCAATTTATTTGAAATAGAATCTTTCATAACATTATAAATGTCTTTGCTGTCACTTGATCAATTTAATGCATCCTTGCTGAATACATTTGAAACAGAAGAGATCTGGACTTTAATGTAGTTTGATATCTAAAATCAGCCAATATATTGCTTATCAAATTCTAAATATAAATATCTTTCATATTCCTGTCCGTCAAACACAACTATCTGTAGTGTAAGTAGGGATATGCCGGTATCAAATTTTCATGTTGCGATTAATTGCTAATGCTTTTATCACGGTATACGGTATTATCGCGATATTGAAATTTAGTTTTAAAAAAGTGCTGTCATAATACAGTATAACAGGTTTAATAACTTTTTTCTTATAACAAAAATAACTATATTACAGAAAAATGTATAAAGTTAAAAGTTTTACACAGATTAAAGTGCAAAAGAACTATAAAGACCAATAGGTATCACTTTACAATAAGACCTCATTAGTTAACCTTAGTTAATGCATTAACATTCACAATGAGCAATAGCTACATTTGCTACAGAAGTTATT